TGCCATGCACCAACCAGCACAGAGCAGGCTCCACGAGTGTCACCTACAGGTGTTATTCAAAGAAAGGGACAAGGAGCAATCAAAAAGTACAGTGAACGTGGAAATTGTAAAATTTATTACAGTAAAAGACATTGCCATTAATACCCCCTCAAAATGCTCCGCCGTGCTTTGAACACACTTCTCCCATCATCCTTGCTGTGTCCTGACGCAGTTCTGGAAGTCCTCGGTCATACACTTACCAGGTGTAATCAAACATACAGTGAGTGCTACTGCCGAGTACCATCCAAGAGAAAGGTGGACGGCAAAAACACGACAGTGTGTCCTCGTCCGCCTCCTTCACCAGATCTGGCACCAGGCAAGTTCTGGCTCTTCCTCAAAGTTAAAAAGACCATGAAAGGGAAATGTTTTGAATCTGTTCAGGACATCCAGGCAGCCATGACATCACAACTAAAGACACTAATAAAAGGGGACTTCCAGAGCTGCTTCAGAAAGTGGAAAGAATGATGGAATAAGTGTCTTTAAAGTGAGAGGGATTATTTTAGGGGAATTAAGGGGTTAATTTAAAAAATTTAAATACACTTTTTCAATCGCACCTCATATAAACGGAGAAGATAATCTCAAATGGCATACACATGGGATGCTTGTGGGAATCTTGTGAAGCTGTTAACGGACTGTGGTCTCAGCCTGCTATTCTGTGTGGATTTTTCTCTGTGGACAAGATTCTCCTGTTTGCTTTTTTATTTTTTTTTTTTTTTTTTTTTTGGTTTTTCTCCGGTACCGGGAACCGAACTCACGACCTTGCGCTTGCCAGGCAGGCGCTTTTGCCGCTGAGTTAAATCCCCAGCCCCCTCTTCTGTTTGCTTTAACTGCCCCATCAGAGACCATCGTTGAGCGGCTCCCAACTGTTGCTGAGGCCAGCAGAGAATGTTCAAGCGGCTGGGAAGGGATGGTTTTCTCTTCCTTTTGGTAGTAGGGAATTGAATCTAAGGCCTTCATACTGAGCTAAGCCCCAGCCCTTTAATTTTTTTTCCTCAGCCCTCGGGAGGCTGAGGCAGGAGCATTGCTTTGAGTTGGAGGCCAGCCTGGGCTACAAAGTGAGTTCAAGGCCTGCCTGAACTGCAAAGTGAGGCCCTGTCTCAAAAAAATAAAATATAAATAAATAAATAAAATAAAATAAAATAAAATAAAAAATATATTTTTTTAATTGCCCAGACTGGGCTGGAATTTAGGATCCTCCTGCCTCAGCCTCCCAGAATGCTGGTATTACAGGCACGTACCACCATGCCCAGCTGTGTTCTCTTGCTCAGTCTGTAGTTAAACACATCATTTCCTTCAGCTGAACTTTTCCCAGCAATCTAGTGATAGGAAGCAATGCTTTTAGCTCTAGCTATCTTGCAGAATGAAGAGTGCACGCCTGGCCACCCCCACAGCCCGCAGAAGAGTCGCAAGGGGAGGAGCAGGACTCCAGGGTCCCCCAGGTGCCAGTAACCCCGCTCCACACTTGCTGGCACGTGGCCTTGCCCAGCCATGAGCAGACTCCCTCACCTATAGAACAGGGGCATTCATTTCTCCAACTGCCTGGGAAGAAGGGACTGCGCGGACATTTCCTCACTGCAGCCGGACAGTGAGGCGCGTCCGCCAGGATGGTGGGGGCCCAGGATCCACAGTGAACTGGTTGGCAAATTCCAGCGAGAGAGAGGCCCTTGCCCCGAGCCAGCCTTCCCGCTTGCCTTCTGCCTTCTCCTGAGCAGAGTCCACGCCAAGCTGTACGGTAACAGGCAGAGGCCGGTGGGCTCCCCTGTCCAACTTCCTGGTGACAGGCAGGCCACCCCGCAGCACTGAGGACTTGTCAGTTTGTCCCTCTGTGCTGTGCCTGTCTGCTTTATGAACGCCTTTCTTCCTCAGACCAGGGCACACAGCACTGCAGCTTCAGCACAGCTGGCTGGGCTCTCTCCAGCTGCCATGCTGAGCTGTCACCTTGTCATAGACAGTGTCAATTAGCTGCCTGTGTCAGACCTGAATTTCTCCACAATAGAGCCGCACATCACCAAGCCTGGCAATTAAGATCTGTCCTATTAGAGGCCCAGAGCCCAGCCTGAGGGTAACTTGGGATGACCCAGAGACCTTGGGGCTCCTGAGCAGAACCCAGTGGCTCAGACTCTGAAAAGCAGGATGGCTATGCCTGGCGGCTCTGTGGCCGGGCCCTGCCCTGCCCTGGTGCCACCAGTGGAGCTGTGGCTGCCCGCTGTGGCCCAAGCCCAGATAAGGGGAGTTTTCACAGGGAGCAACAGACATCCAGAGACGGCCTTGAACTGGGAACTCCTAGGTCCCCTCTGGACTCTCCAGCTATTTCACACAGGGAATCCTACTCTCAGTACAGGCAGGCTTGGCGTGCTTTGAGCTTTTTTAGATGTTACTTCCAGCTCCTCCCTATAAAAGGCCCCAAAGGTACAGCCAGCACCCTTGCTTCCCAACGCTGCTTAGGCTGGGCAAGCACTGTCGCCCTTTGCTTCCTGCTCTCCGGGCACACCTTCAGCATTTCTTTATTATCAGCCTCACTGGGTAGATTTGCTGCCAAAAGAGCCTCCTCCCGGCAGCCCTGCAGATTCCTGGGGCTGCAGCTGTACTCCAGGCCTGCAGCTCGGCCCATGGAAGGAGGCGCCTCCCCCTGACTCCCCTCGCCACCTCCCAGCCTCCCTAGGTCCCGCTGGCGGAGGCCCTTGGGCCCCCGCTGGCTAAGGAGGGTAAAGGAGGGGAGGCTGTCATTCAGCCTCGGTCCAAGGGTCTAACAGCGAGCTTGTGAACAAACAGAGCGCAATTTCCTGAGACAGCAGAAATTTCCTCATCAGGGAGCAGCTTCCGTTCCCAGGGCAAAAAGAATCAATTGCCTCCATCTGCTTCAGCGGGCAGGAGGCTCCCTGCAGGGGCAGAAGAAAGTGAGCGCCCACGTGCTTAAACCGCTGCACCACCCTGCGGCCTGGCTGTGTGGCCCAGCCGCCTGCGTGCCTGGCTGCGCGTGGCAGCCCCAGCGCTGGGCACTTTGCTTTCAGCCTGGTCAGCTCTCTCCCTCAGACTACGGCCCGCTGGCCCTCAGATGATTAGCAGTCCCTCACTGTCCCAAGGATGAGAGAAGAAATGCAAAAACAACGCCTCTCTTTTTGCCCCTATCCATTCTCCGGTGACTTAATCTCGGGGCCAGGGTCACCGCCATCTGAGCAGGAGCATCCGGAGGGATGTGTCACCTCAAGGCCCAGGGTGTTCTGGCCGTGCCCAGCCGCCCTCATCTGCAGAGCCGGCCCTCCGATGTGACCTGGCAGCCATTGGTCATGCCAGGGAGTGAGCCCCGGCCCTCTGGGACATGGGAAAACGCTGAGAGCACTCATTTATTTCCAGGAGGCCTCTGGCAGCTGAGGGGCAAAACACACAGTCTAGGCTTCAGCTGGAGTCTGGATCTCCCTGTCCCCACCACGCCTACCTCCCATGACCACCACCTCCAGGAAGCCCCACCTCAAAGGTGAAGAGCAGCAGGTAGGAGGGGCTCTGGAACTGCAGTGTCTTGAGCAAATGGCCCCTTCTGAGAACAGTTGGTGGCAGGCGTGCCGTGGTGCTTAGAAGGAAATTGGCCTCTCCTCTCTGGCGCCATCTCACTAATCACAACTAGCTGGAAGCAGAGGCCATTGCAGGCTGCCTTGTTTCCTGTTGCTGCTTGTTTTGGCAAGGCCCCCCTTGGCCTTTCCTACCCTACTGCCTCTGTCAGCCCCTCTCCTCAGGAAAGGGGGCTCCTGGGCCCCCACGTTCAGGGGCTTGTCCATGAGGCCTCTTCTGTCTCCCTGGGGCATGTGACCGGGTTTAGGCTCAGTCTCCCCAGTCTGCTGGGACCTTTCTTGTAGACCAGGCTGTGTTCTGTCCTAGGCCTGCTAGGACGTCCCAGTGTGACTGTGTCCCTTCCACTTGTTCCCTTCCCGTCCTCCTTCCACCGAAATCGGGTGGTTCTAAGAATGAGTCCACGAATGACCATGTGTGTAGAGAAGACTTTTTGAGCTGGGCTGCTGAGTGCCTGGAAGGCTTGTAGGGGGAATCCAGCCCCTTCCTCTAGACCCTGAGGCTCTCGTAGGAAGAGGAGGTTACCAGGCATGGTGGTGCACACCTGTAATCCCAGCTACTCTGGAGGCAAGAGGATGTCAAGTTTGAGCCCAGCATGGACAACTTAGCAACTCAGTGAAACCGTCTCTCAAAAATGAAAGATAAATGGGATACAGGAATGCAAGAAGAAGAAGGAGGAGGAGGAGGAGGAGGAAGAGGAAGAAGAAGAGGAGGAGGAGGAGGAGAAGGAGAAGTAGGAGAACAAGGAGAACAAGAAGAAGAAGAGAGAGATTCCAGCACTTGGGAAGCTGAGGCAGGAGGATCCCTGCAAGTTCAAGGCCAGCCTAGGCTACATAGTAAGTTCAAGGCCAGCCCAAACTGCATAGTGAAAACCTGTCTCAGGGGCTGGGGATTTAGCTCAGCGGCAAAAGCGCCTGCCTGGCAAGCGCAAAGTCGTGAGTTCGGTTCCCGGTACCAGAGAAAAACAAACAAACAAAAAAAAAAAACAGAAAACCTGTCTCAAAAAAAAGAAAACGAAAAAAGAAGAAAAAATAAAGGTCAGTTGTGCATGTTCCCCAGCAGCCCCACTGGGGAGCAGGAAGCAGCCCTGGGCTGTCAGGGCGGAGGCCGCACCTTTCCAGGCGGCTTTCGTGGGTGGGGCGGCCTGATAGAGGGACCTCTGTGCTGAGCACTAGGGCCGGGCCTCTCCGTGGAGCCTGTGCCTGCTTGTCCTCCTGTGTCTGCCGCTCCTCCCGCCCAGCTATTTCCCCATCCATCTGGGTGGGATCGCTGTGCGCTCCTCCTGGGCATGTGGGTGTAGCAGGTCCAAGCCTCTGTGGGAGTCGTTCTTGGGCGCCCCGCCTCCACCTCCAGGCTGTGCCCTTTCCTCCCAGACTGGTTATGCAGGGGCGGTGGGGCATGCGCAGCAGTCAGGCCCAGGCCGGGAGCCCTCACCTGCAGGGAGGGGCCTTGCAGAAACTGCCTTCCCCTGGCAGCCCCACAGCACCACAGCCTGGCCAAGCAGCCTCCGAGGACGCACACCGCCTGCTGCCCTCCTGCCCCCCGGGGAGCCCAGCCTGAGCCGGCACCTGCCTTTACCACCATGTTCAAGGGGCTGAGCAAAGGCTCCCAGGGGAAGGGGTCCTCCAAGGACTCCTGGGCCAAGGGGTCCCCCAAGGGCTCTCCAGCCAAAGGATCCCCCAAAGGCTCCCCCAGCAAGCACAGCCGGTGAGCGGGTGCCGGAGGGGGACTGAGGAGCTGGGGTCTGGGTGGGGCGGGGATACCCGGGTGCTCCAGCTGCCTGGAGGTGGCACCTCAGACAGGCATTGGGTATCCCCGAGCCAAAGGGCCAGGGGGTGGATGCTGTCCCACCTCAGGAGCCTCTGGCACAGGCTGCGCTCCAGCCTGGCAGGAAGCAGGTGATGGCGGTGGCTCCCTGCATACTTGGGGACAGCCTGAGGGCCGCTTCTGTAGGCTGCTCTGCAGGAGAGGAGCGGGGAGGCTGGGAGACCTGGGGCCTGGCTGCCGTCCAGGGCTCTGCTCCCAAAGCTCCACTGGGCCGGGACGGTTCTTCAGGGCCTGGGTGCGGGTGGGCAGGACCAAGAGCTGAGAGCGAGAGGGCGGGTGGCCGGGGACAGGCAGCTGGGGCTCTCCTCCTCCGCCCCAACCTCAGCTGCAGTTTTCCCCAGTTCTCACCCCGGCCTTGGGTGAACGGTGAAAGAGCTGGGGGCTCCTTTCCAGCGGGGTGTGGGGGTGCTGTTCCTGCCCCTCTGCACACAGACCTGGCTGCTGCTTCCCGCTCATGCCCTCAGCCTTCCTGCAGGAGGAGGAGGCGCCCGCTCCGGTCCAGGGTGTCAGAGTGTTGAGATAAGAGCAGAGATGAAAGGCTGGGGTGGGCGCCCATTACCCCGATAGGGATCAGGGCGCCCACACAGGCTGGGCTTCCGGGGAGACAGGAAAGGCAGTGGTTAAGACTCTCACGGGAGTGACCTCTCCTCCCTGGCCCATGGTAGAGGCGCAGCTCTGGGTAAGAGCAGCCCTCTTTGAGGCCAGACCTGAGAACAGAGCTATACGCAGGCTGCTGTGCATGCCAGCCTGGGGCCGCTCCATCCACAGCACCCCGAAAGAGGGCTGCTAGTTCCCTGTGTGTAATCCACACACACTTACTGAGCATTTACAGTGTTCAGGGCCACTCCCTGCCTCTGGGGATGCTGCCATAAACAAAACTGCCAGGCCTGCCTTCAAGGTGCTTACCCTCTGTGGAATAAAAACTAACATGTGCTGGGTGCTAACTCTGCACATGAGGCTTCCCATGGGCTCCGTGGAAGATGCTATTAAAACCCCACTTTACTGGGTGTGGCAGTACACACCTGTAATCCTAAGCATTCTAGAGGCTGAGGCAGGAGGATCACCGTGAGTGAGGTTGAGGCCAGCCTGGACTATATAATTCAAGGCCAGCCTAGACTACAAAGTAAGACCCTATCTCAAAAAAACAAGATAAATAAATAAAACCCCATTTTATAAGTAAGAAACCCGCAGGTGTGGTGGAGCACACCTGTAATCTCAGCACTTGGGAGGCTTGGGCAGGAGGGTCATTGAGAGTTCAAGACCAGCCTGGGCTACAAAGTGAGCTCAAGGCCAGCCTGAACTGTTCTGCATAGCGAGACCCTGTCTCAAAAAGACCAAGGGGGGGAAATATATATATATATATATATATATAAACTTAGGCACAAAGGAGTTGTCTCTTGTCTAAGTTTACACAGCAGTAGTGATAGAGAAGGTCAACCCCAGAACTGGACCATGGAGTCCTGTCAGACTGCTGTGTGTTCACTGGCACGGGCCTCTGCCTGGGGATCCTGTCCTCTGACCCCAGTTTACAGCTCCTTGAAGGCTTCCCCTCCCCTAGGACTGTGACCCCCCACAGGACGCCATGCTCCTCAGGCTTGTGCTACTTCTCCTTTTTAAGGTCTGTGTGGCCCCCTTGACCCTCAGAGAGTACAGCAAACAGCAGGAGCTGCCTGAGGGAAAGGAGTGCTTGGGGCCCAGGCAGCACAAGCTCACCTCTGTTCCTGCATGACTCAGAACAAGTCAGGACCCAATCTGAGCTTCAGAAACCTGAATCTGAGTAGTGGGGTACCCAAGCCCTCTTTCTCTCTCACTGTTTTTTTGTTCTCTCTCTCTCCCTCCCCTTCTCTCTGTCTCTGTCTCTCTCTGTCTCTGCCTCTGTCTCTCTGTCTTTCTCTCTCTCTCTCTCTGTCTCTCTTTCTGTTCTATGTAGCCCAGGCTGGCCTCAAACTCAAGGGACTCCTCCTGCCTCAGCCTCCTGAGTGCTGGGGTTACAGGTGTGTACCACCACACCCAGCACCAAGCCATCTTTTGGCCCCTCCCTGCTCCAATAGTGTTTGGCTTGACAAAGGCAAAGCCACTTGGTGGAGGAGACAGCACTGGGATGGGGGTGGGGGTGGGGGGGTGCACATTCTCCTGCACCTCATCCCCAACAGCCTGACTGCCCCTCCAGGACCCAGCCAGCAGACCATAAAGTGAGAGCTGGTGATTAGCTTGCTCCTGGGCCACCCACCCGCCACCCCCAGGAAGCGGACAGCAGCTGGGGGGGTGGGACTCACTGCCGGGCCACCTGGCTGAGGCTGGGAGCCCAGGCCTCCTGTGCCACCACATTACACAGCCAGGAGTTCACTTCCTGAACCCCAGCCCCAAGGCTGAGTACCTGGGAGTCCCCGGGGCCAAGGACTCCTCCCTCCAGAGCAGACAGCCTGGCTGTGGGCAGGAGGGGACCCCAGCAGGTGGGGCACAGAGGGTCTTTCCCCACGTGACCCTCTCTCCCCTGCCACCCACCAGGGCTGCCACACAGGAGCTGGCCTTGCTCATCTCCCGCATGCAAGCCAGTGCGGACCAGGTGGAGAGGGACATCCTGGAGACCCAGAAGAGGCTGCAGCAGGTGAGGCCCAGGCAGCAGGGGCTGGCCAGAGGGCATGGGAAGCCCCGCGTAGTGTCTGGGTGCCCGTGCTGATATGACAAGAGGACAGTCACCCCGCTTCTCCATTGTCTGCTCCCCACAGCCAGTAGGAGAGAGCTTGTCCTTCCCTCTCTGCTCTGCTGCACTCCCTGCCCTGGGGGACAAAGAGCGGCCTGGGCTTCTCTTGCATCCTTGCCTCCAGCTTCGCAGGTGCCCAGACGGTGAACCTGGCAGGCCTGAGGCAGGCTGGGCTCAGGCTGGCAGTAGCAGGTCAGCAAAGACTTAGGGAGGATGTGGGGTCTGGGCCCTGGTGAGCCTCTTCGTCCCTGCCCACAGGACCGGCTGCGCAGCGAGCAGAGCCAGGCTCTGCAGCACCAGCAGGAGACGGGCCGCAACCTGAAGGAGGCGGAGGTGCTGCTCAAAGACCTCTTCCTGGATGTGGACAAGGCCCGGCGCCTCAAGCACCCGCAGGCCGAGGAGATCGAGAAGGAGTAAGTGGGCCGGGGTGCAGGATGGAGGCTCGGAGGTGCCGGGGAGGCCCATCCCTGATCCACGGGCCAATCCTCCCGCAGCATCAAGCAGCTGCATGAGCGGGTAACCCAGGAGTGCGCCGAGTACCGAGCCCTGTATGAGAGGATGGTGCTGCCGCTGGACATGGGGTCCCGGGTCGACTGGGCACGTGTGCTGGAGCAGAAACAGGTCAGGAGCACCCTACTGTCTGAGACACCCTCAGGGAGCTCAGTCGCACCTGGTACAGTCAGAGAACAAGCCGGAGAGAACAGCGTCACCCCTGGCCTGACTTTTTTTTTTTTTTTTGGTACTGGGAATCGAGCTCATGACCTCAGGCTTGTTAGGCAAGCACTTAAGCCACTGAGCTAAACACCCTAATCCCCACCCCCCACCCCCAACCTGGCTGCCTGACTTTAACCCTGAGGATGGCGCAGGGTCTGGGAAGGGAGCAGGGGGACAGAGTGCAGCTGGGGAAGGCTTCCTGCAGGAGAGGGTGCATGAGAGGTAGCGGCTTGCCTGGGTCAGGGTGAAGTAGCGGGGACATTCCAGAAGGAAGGAACCATGGTTCTTTCGGGGAGGAGACCCAGGGGTTGATGGGAAGTGGGCTTTTCTGGGCAGTGGGCACGGCCAGGCTGTGGGACACCCTGACTTGAGGTGAGGGTTTGGGCTTTGGTGCTACTATGGCAGAGGAGCTGTGATGACAGAGGACAGCGCTGGCTGGAGCAGGCTGCTCCCCTGGCCGATCTGCTTCTCCTGAGGGGCTTGCTGGGAGGCAGGGAGGTACGGTGGGGGTCTCTGGGCTCTGCCCAGAGGTCCTGCAGGCAGGACTGAGCGGCCCGCTCTTCTGCAGAAGCAGGTCAGAGAAGGCCAGTACGGGCCGGGCATAGGGGAGCTGGAGCAGCAGGTCGCAGAGCACAACATCTTGCAGAGGGAGATTGAGGCCTACGGGCAGCAGCTGCGGAGCCTCGTGGGGCCGGTGCGTGAGTCCCACTCCAGCCCCAGACCCCTTCCTCCCACTAGAGCCTGGGCTGGACCGGCTCCCCTCTGTGGAGGGGCACAGCCGGCCCCGATGTAGGGTGCCAACTCCCTGCACCCTGCCTCTCACTGGCCCTGTTTCTCTCCTGGTTGCGGCAGGAAGCGGCCAGCATCCGAGACCAATACCGGGACCTGCTGGTGAGCAGGAGGAGGGAGGGAGCTGGGTGCAGGGCCTGCCCACCTGGACCCTTGGTGGCATCTGATGGGCCCCTCCCCCACCCCCTTCTCTCCCACCCGCTTCTCTCCCTGCCCTGCGGCTGCTGGTCCGGAGCACAGAAGGCGGCCTCGTGGCGCAAGCAGAGCCTGGGCAGCCTGTACACGCACCTGCAGGCCTGCACTCGGCAGCTGAGTGCCCTGGCCGAGCAGCAGCGCCGCATCCTGCAGCAGGACTGGAGCGACCTCATGGCCGACCCCGAAGGCCTGCGGCTGGAGTATGAGGTCGGTGGGGGTGGTGCGGCAGCCGGGTGGCCAGCGCCAGCCTGGTGCTCACCGCCACTCTGGCCCCACTCGCCCGCAGCACTTCAAGCAGTACGAGCTGCTGGGCCAGGAGCAGAGCGTGAACAAGCTGGAGGATGATGGCGAGCGTATGGTGGAGCTGGGCCACCCTGCCGTGGGGCCCATCCAGGTCTGCAGGTCCCGCCCTGCCCCAGAGCCAGCCAATCCAAGGGCCGCAGGGGCACAGTGTGAGCTCTGGGTGCTGCACTTCGCAGGTGCACCAGGAGGCCCTGAAGATGGAATGGCAGAATTTCCTGAACCTGTGCATCTGCCAGGAGAGCCACCTGCAGCACTTGGAAAACTACCGCAAGGTGAGCCCACCAGGGTGTCAGGGGCTGGCTGTCCCGGGTGGGATGCACCGGTACAGGGAGGGTGGACAAGACACCTGGCCATGGTGGTGCACACCTGTAATCCCGGCCTTCTGGGAGGCTGAGGCAGGAGAATCACAAATCCAAGACTTAACTGGACAATTTTATCAACCTAGCCAGACCCTCCAGGTCTAAAATAAAAGACTGGGGATGCAGCTTAGTACAAAAGTCCTGGGTTCAGGCTGGATGTGGTGGTACGCACCTGTAATCCCAGCACTCGGGGGCCAAGGCAGGAGGACAGGCATGAGTTCAAGGCCAGCCTGGGCTATGTAGTAAAACTCTGTCTCAAGACAGAAAAACAAAAGTCCTGGGTTCAATCTCCAGTAGCTGGGGGGAAAACATTCTTGGGAATGGTAGGAGAATTAAGAGGGAAAAAAATATCTAAAAAGTCTATTTAGGAGAACAACAATGAAAAAGGGCTAAGAAATACTGATACAATAGATATTGGATTCCCTTTGTAATTGTAATTTCCACCCAAGGGTTTCATATGCTTTTGACAAACACCAAGGAGTTGTTTTTTTTTTCTGGTTGAACAGCATTTTCCTATAAAACCACAATACCATCATCACACCCTGGGGAGTAATTACATGGTATTACCTGACCACAAATCTCTTTCTCCTCCTTGCTTCTTTACTCCCTTCTTTCCTTCCATCCATACTGGGATTGAACCCAAGGCCTTGCACTTACTAAACAAGCACTCTAGGCTGGGGATATAGCTCAGCGGCATAAGCGCCAGCCTGGCAAGGGCAAGGTTGTGAGTTCTATTCCCAATACTACAAAAAAAAAAAGAAAAAAAAATAGGGGGCTGGGGATTTAGCTCAGCAGCACAGCGCCTGCCTGGCAAGCACAAGGTCATGAGTTCGATTCCTGGTACCAGAAAAAAACCAAAAAATTAAATAAATAAATAAATAAACAAGCGCTCTGTCACTGAGCTACATCTCCACCCTGTTTATATTTTGAGGCAATGTCTCACTAAGTTGCCCAGGCTGGCCTCAAACTTGCCAGCTTCCTGCCTCAGCCTCCAGAAGAGTTGGGATTACAGGTGTGCAGCCACCTGGCTCATGTTTGCTTCTTCAAGCACACTCCTCCTGCCTTCTCTGCAGCTGCAACAAGCACGGCCCAGTCTCCCCTCCTGTCCCAGTGAGGATTGCAGGGGCTGGAGGGAGGCAGGCAGGGGGACCCTCACTGCACAGGAAGGACAAATCCAAGTGCTGTGTGACATACCTAAGAACTAAGTTCAGTGAACCAAAAACACCCATTTACAGACTGTTCCATTTAAGAAGGTCCCACCGCCCAGGCAGATGTAGCTGGGTTTTGTTCAGCTGGCTGCGCTTTAGCAGGGTTCGGGTTTAGCTTGGGGTGCAGTTAGGCTGTGGCTGTGTTGAGCTGGTCTGCAGGGTCCGTGGGCAGCAAGATGCCCCTGGCTCTGCCTGTGACCACCCAGTGACCTCAGTTCCAGGAAGAGGCCGACACAGTCAGCCAGACTCTGGCGAAGCTCAATTCCAACTTGGACACCAAGTACAGCCCTGTTTCCGGGGGCCCTGCTGGCCCTGCCACGGAACTGCTACCGCAGCTGGAGGTGAGACCGCCTCAGCAGGCCATCTGCACCTACTGCTGGGAATCAGGCCTGCTCGTCTTTCTGGACCTCTCTTCTCCACACCTCGGTCCCTAGTGCTGCCCCAAATCCTGGCATGGGGGTAGAAGGCTGCCCAGTTAGCAGCAAGACCCTGTCTTCTCTGGACCTCAGTTTCCTCCTATGTAGCATAGCAAGGGCAGCCCGGGAGAGCTCTGAGCCCCTCCAGTCTCCTCCCAACCCACAGATCTACAGACCTGGGCCCCACGGAGGGGCTCCTTCCATGTGCTGACTCAGAAACCTCCCCTGATGAAGGCCAGGCCGGGCCCTCTTGGGAAGCAGGTGTGGGATAGGTGTTCTGCAGCGCAGCCCGGCCTGAGCCCCGACTGCCTGGGCCCCCGCAGGCAGAGGAGAAGCAGCTGGCGGTGGCTGAGAGAGCCATTGGGGACCTGCAGCAGCGGAGCCGGGAGGTGGCCCCTCTGCCCCAGCGCAGGAAGCAGCTGCAGCAGCCCCTGCACGTGGACAGCATCTGTGACTGGGACTCGGGAGAAGTACAAGCTCTGGCTGCCCTGACCCACGCGACCTCATCCCAGGCCCCCAAGCTCAGCCCCCACCCCGCTCTGTCCCTCCCCCTGTTCTCCTCCTCCCCGGCCCAGCTCCAGCCAGTCTCACATCTGATCCGTCTCTGCCGCACCCCACCACCTCCTGCCCCAGTTCCAGCCGCTGTCCCCACCTGTCTCTGTCCTCATCCCCGACCCGTTTAACCTTCGCTGCCTCTCCAGCTCCTGCCCAGGCTGACACAGGCCCCTCCTCATCTGTCCACCAGGTGCAGCTGCTGCGGGGAGAGCGCTGTACGCTGGTGGACAACACTGACCCACACACGTGGGTGGTGCAGGGCCCCGGCGGGGAGACAAAGACTGCCCCGGCCACCTGCTTCCGCATCCCTGCACCGGACCCCGAAGCTGTGGCCCGGGCCTCCAGGTGGGTCTCCCTTGGGATACCTGGGGGCAAGAGGCAGGCTGTGGCCTGGACCAAGCTCTGCGGTGCCCAAGACCACTGCCCAGAGCCCCTGCCTGAATGTGTGTTCCCTGGTGTAGTGACTGCAGAAAGAGCGGGAGGGACGTCCTTCTCTGATCTCATTCCAGGCTGGCCACAGAGCTGCAGGCCCTGAAGCAGAAAGTGGCCACAGTGCAGAGCCACCTGAGGGCCAGTCGCGTGGAGCCCTCACACCCGGAACAGCAGGGTACCTGGGCACAGGGGGGAGTAGGATTGTTGGGAAGAAGGACCTAGATTCCTACACCACTTCTGGGGACTGTGATAGGTGACCCGAGAGGTGGGCCTGGCTTAGGGATGTGTGCTCTGGGGACTCCATCTCCCGGGCTGGCAAGCCCTTGGGGCTGTTGTTCCCTGGGCTGGGCCCTGCCCGGCCTCCCACTGTGGGAACCTGGGAGGGTGCATCGCGGGCCTGAGCTCTCACCGGCTCTTCTGCCCCAGCTCCAGCTGGCTTAGCCCCAGCCAACCCGCAGGCCCAGAAGCTCCTGACACAGATGACCCAGTTGGACGGGGACCTGGGGCAGATAGAGAGGCAGGTCCTGGCCTGGGTCCGGACCCCACTGAATCGCACGGCGCCCTTGGACGACCTGGAGGGCCGCATCCACAGCCACGAGGTAGGGGAACAGCCCTGCCCTGGGGGAGCAGACAGTTTAGGGGAGATGAGGCAGCCACCAGGACCCGAGCTGAAGGAGGGGAAGGGGTGGTCCAAGGCTCAGCCAAGAGGGCCCCCAGCCTGGCCCCCACCGAGGGCTCTACCACCAACAGGCCAGGCCTCAACCTCTCTGGGTCTCCTCATCCCTGGAACAGGCTGGCAGGCCCAGCTCATTGGGTTGTCCTGAGGCAGAAGTGCAGGAGCTCCCGGGAGGGTTCGTGCAGAGGCCAGAGCAGTGGCCCACACTCAGGAGGGTTTCTGGCGACCGGCCTGAGGATGTCTGGAGCATCCTGGGGACCATCACTCCTGCCTCAAGGGGGTGCCTCCTGAAGTGGCACTGTGTGTGAGTGTCACTGCCAAATAAGACTGTTCTCAACACCCGAGAGTGCCACGAGGAGAACCCGCCCGCTCCAGCACGCAGGGGCAGCATCTGGTTATCCTTCCAAACCGGTTTCTGTTCAAATACCTTTTTTTTTTCTTTATTTTCTTTCTTTCTTTTGTTCAAATACCTTTTATCGTTTGTGTTTGGTTTAAAAAAAGACAAATGAGCTGTGTTCTTCTCACTGTTGTGCAACCTGTAATTTTTATTTTTTGTGAGATATATATATATGGCCCCCTCTTCTT